TTATGAACCTTCATGTTACAGTGCAATGATATCACATAATGTAAACATAGACCCACAAATTTGACCTGAAAAAATGTGATTTCAGAGCCCATTTGCTCCTCAACATGGACAAGTTATATATCAAAATGGGAAAATATTTGTCCTCACTGAGAGAAATCTTGTGGTTTTCACATAAACGACCTCAGACTCCTATAATATCTGATAATTCTGGTCAAAACCTGAAGAGCAGGGTCTCTTTAACCTGCCACCGTGCTGATAAACAACAGGAACATGAAAACACTGCGTTTTCTACAGTGGAAACTTCTGGCAGGCATGGTAAGAGGATGTAATCACTTTACTGTAAATGGGGTTTATTTAAATGGTAAATGGTCTGCATCTGTATAGCGTTTGTTTGTATAACATGGTTTATCAGTGCAGCTCCGGCCATGTTGATTAACTGCGCTAACTGCATCCTATTTGCATGAAGAGCCTCTGCAGGATGACTGTTTCACGCTCACAGAGCCACAGAGGGACGACTTCCACCACGGTCAGCCGGTTGCAGCCAAAACACGTGCCATCCTCAGAACAATCACTTTAACTAGTCCTCCAACCTCAGCTTTGGGTGGTGCAGGATTACTGCTGTCAGGTCTTCTCCTCTGGTTTGTGCAGTCACCTCACAGCAGGGATGCTTCAAACCCTCACAGGGCCTTTCTGTGGGGACTCTGCATGTTAGCTTAAGTGTGAGCTAAATAAAAAGCTTTTAGTTGTGAGATACACAAAAGTGTTACACAACAAGTGTTTAACTTTGTCATCGTGCAGCAGAAGTCTACCCCTTATCTCAGCCGAACAATGAGGAAGCTCAACTGACCACAGTCTGTTTCTTCTAAAGGTTTGTCATTCAGATAACGCCAAAAAAGCCCTCTGTGTGTTTTTGTGTGCTAATAATGGGTTAATAATGGGTAATAACATATTTTTGGGTGAAGAAACCATCCTTATGTACTGATGTTTGTGCCCTTTTGGAACAAACTATTTAAAGTTTTGTGTATCACAAAGTATTAATTAATTAAATTAATATTAAAGTAAAAGGAGAATATATTTAGAAAAAGAACTGTGTTAATCATCCCACTGTGTGTCAGAAAGTCCAGAGAACTATGTTGGCTATAACTCTGCATGATGTGACCGGATGCAGCAGGACACCCATGTGTAAAAAACAAAAGTCGCCTCAAGGCGCTTTATATTGTACAGTACTCATGTATATTGTGTCACTCATCTGTTCAAGCTCCAGATGTTAATGAAGCTATTATCACTGTACTTCAGCATCTTAGCAAGTCCCCAAAACAGGAATTTAACATACTACTGCTACTAGTACTAATACCATTACTACTAATACTAATACTATTAATATTACTGCTCCTTTGATCATTTGGTAACTACTGTAACTATTCCAGGTCACAGATGAGGTGTTGCCCTGAAAGGAGGAATTTATGTAAGTATCTCAGGGTCTTGTTCAGGTTGATTGATGGATCAGGGTCTGCAGTGACACAGACCTTGTAGGTAAAGCTGTTGATTTACTGATCACTCTAAGTCACGAGCTCTGTGTAGTGACCGAACGAATGAGATCACTGATACAAGCAGTAGAAATGAGCTTTCTCCAAATAATGGCTGGCACCATTTGAGCTGATCTATGATCTGTGGAAGCTTGTAAAAAGCTGGCGCACTCACAGAGTTCGTCATATTTGCTGACTGTGTCCACACATGGAGCGTTTTAGAGAACATGTGTGATGACACCTGATAAGATCTTTGTGCTGTTTTTTGTTTCTGTCTTCCTCATTTTCAGGTTGCCATGCCCCTTTGCTCATATAAAAACCTCAACTACTGCAGATCAAACCACTCCTTACAGCTGAGTGAAGATCACAGACCTTCCAACTGTGCAGGTATGTGAAGCACTTGGGTCACAGTTTGGTCTGAGTTCACTTTCCTACATTTCATTGGTTTCTTTCTTCTGTTGCAGTTTTAGGACAAACAAAGCAGTGAAGGTGAGAAAGTTTGAGATTTACTACTTGAATTTGGATTTAGCTGCCTTAAATTCATCTCTGGTTAGTTGTTTATTGGCGTTCACTGATTTAAAGTGGATCATAAACATGTTGTTTTCAACGGTGCAGATGAAGTTGATGCCCTGCTTCATGCTTTATGTCCTGCTGGCAGCTGGAACCAGTCTGGCTGTGGATGTGAACTGGCTGACTGAAGTTGTCAAAGCCATCAGGAAAGAGTGAGTGAAATTTATTATGTCATTAACCATGGCAGGAAAACCACTGTCTCCTTAGCTTCCATGTTTTGGTTTAATGTGCTGGTTATTGCATTCGTTCAGCCCGGTCTCACAGTAAAATGTAAAATTTTCCACGTCTGCACCATGATTGTTTTGAAAGATTTATATGGAGGCACACAAACCTGGAAACTGATGGATTTCCACCCAGAGCAGTTTGGTCTTTGTCAGTGAGTCTGCATAAAAGTATGGCTCCCACAAGAGAAAAGACACAGCTTAATTCACCAGCAGGTTTACCCAGACTTAATACCGTCTGTGGCAGAAACTAGTTTTTCAAAACTCTGCTGATTCAGTCCTGGTCATTTATAATCTTAATGTGTTCTTGCTGATATATTCTGGAGCTTGAATTCTCTATTTTTTGAATGCCAGACTATTGCCACAATTCTACTTTCTGCGCTTGTGTGCTTTAGCTCCTATCTGTTTAATAAATAATCCATAAACCTGCAAGAACTACAGATGAAAATTGGTCTATATCACATCTGGCCCTTTGTAGTCTCACAGTAGTTTTTGAAATAGTCACCACCTCTGATCTAATTCACAGTTTTTTCATGTTTGAGAACACATATGCTGTCATACATGCTGAGTGCTGTGTTTGAGTCAAAACATACTTCATAAATTAAAAAAAACCATTAGGTCACTTTTAGAAAAAAGTAACTGGGTTAAAACACAAAGTCTCACATGTCCGAACAAAAACAAATATGGTCTTTAAATTAAGTAAATACAACCTGAGATGGACAACAACATAATACATTTTGGTGTGTCATGTTAGTCATTATTTAACAAAATGCCAAAATGCAGAACCAGAGTGTGTGAAAAACTGAGTCCAGCCCCTGGTTGTTTCTGTCATTTAGTTTTTCAGACTGTCTCTGCATGTTGGCTTAGCTACTGTTCAATGGTAGTGACTGTGTAAAATGTCATGTATTGATTATCTGAGGCTATATTTGAATAAGACCTGCTGAGGACCAGATGACTTCATCTACATCCCGATATGTAAAACCTTTCACAGGCAGTGTTGGGAAGGTTACTTTTAAAATGTATTCCATAACAGATTACAGAATACATGCCCCAAAATGTTTTCTGTAACATATTCCGTTACGTTACTCAATGACAGTAACGTATTCTGAATACTTTGGATTACTTAATATATTATCATGCTTTTTACAACAACGTGAATGTACTATTGCTGTGTGATTTATTACTATTACTGAAGGTCCGCG